CACCATTTTCTTGCTAGTTCAGAAAGAATTTCAAACAGTTATTCAGAAATGGGTGAAATATCGTGGAATATTGACAAGGAAATCTTCCGAAATAGTTCATATCCTTTCATAGCTTCAGATTAGAACTCGAGAATAGATATTTGTTCTTCATAATTAGAAAAAGGAAAGCATATAATGGAAAAAACTTTTCCACTGATGCCCTCATGCTGTTCATCGCAGCCATGAGGAAGAGGAAGGGTTTGCGTTTGAAAAAATTCTCACAAGGATGAGTACATTCGCTTTGAATCCTACGATCCCTTCTATTCCAGAAGACTGTCATTGAGAACATCTCAGTAATATCAAACCATCAGTTAATCGTCAACTCGTCCGCAGCTAAGCGACGTCGCAGGCCACGTCCACTAGCGCCGCACCCGTACGACTCTGTTGCTACACACCCACCTCTGGTTGTTCTCTACCGCTGAGTATGTATTTCGCTGCGAGAGACCATGGTATCTGCGCACCTTGAGGATAGTGCTGGCGGAGTATGGAGACGGCACCGAGTATCACACTCTCCAGCCCAGTTCCTGTGCATCTTTAGGCGGGTAGAGTAGCACGCTATTCCAGCTGCGGACCCACTCACGTTGCTTGTAAACGACCGTGTACTGTTCGTCTTCAAGCAGGACTATCTCAGATGTCTCCCGACATTTCCAGCCCTGAATGAGAGCCGAAATACTAGACTAATATAAATGCTAAAAATCTTGGAGGCTTCACCAAGACCTCATACAGATTGTCAGAATGTTTTTGAGTGCGATTGGGCGGGCATTAATTATAGATTAGGGCCAATAAAGAGTACTAATCGAGATCATGTTATAAGTTGGGCTAAAACAAATATACATAGCTCAAGCTAGACAAGCGCTGAAGCACTAAGGATCATTCTTGAGAAGCACGTCCCACAGTTCCGAGTTGTTAGAGCTCTTTGAATACAACTCTTTCCACAATTCTCTCAAACTCTAGTTGCCTTATATCCAAATCAAAGTGGTTCTGTGGTTAATGCCAACGTTAGGTGATAGTTTAATCAATTACTCACATAGTCGGGATCGCCTTCTCCTTGCCCATTAGGAAGAAGATCTTCTGGATCGTAGTAGTAGTAATCGTCGCTGTTCTCCTTCTTCCTTCCTTTCACTCGATCTTCTCGACGATCATCTTTTGAGTTCTTTCTCGGATTTTGTGGCTGCCTTTGTTGAGCATTTTCTGTCTGGCCCTGCTGCGCAGAAGCAGCCGCTAAAGAATCGATTTTTGTGAAAAGCTCGCAACCGTCACTCTCGTAGCCTTGATTGCCTTTTACAAAAACTCTAGTATTAAGGAGAAATTTAGCGTTATTCGTTCATCTCAAGGTCTTGCTATGTAGCTTCTTTGCAGCCACTAGAGTAATCTCCTTACGTACTGCGACCTTGACAATGAGGTAGTTCTAGTGTGACCCGTTGGGAGAAGTACCTACTCTGTTTCTTCACAATTACATGGTGCAGCAGGTGGTTAATGCGGTTTTTTGCTTATCATAGTAGGAATTTGTGGAAAAGGTGAAGACTACGCAACTTGAAAGTGCGAAACTTCTTATCCGGCAGCGAGCCAGCTGAGTTTGCCAACTCTACACAACACAAACCAACACGTCTCCTAAAAATGAACAAGCCAAAGATCTGAGCTTGCCGAGAGACCCGACTGCTGCCTGTCCTGCGCCCTAACTTACGTATGCCTTTTCACTGTTTTCCCACCTAGTCCCGTCAGAAGCCATCTTCTCGGTGAGAAACAGGATTCCCAAGTGCACCTAAAATGATCTAATCACCTTTCTCAGCGCTGAACCGAGGTGCCCCTGAGAGCAAAGATTACGCCTTCCCCTGTTTGGTTGCTGGCAACAACTCCATATCTATTAGGTTGTCGCATAAGTTCTTATACACGTGTTTGATCCTCTCCTATTTCGTTCGCATGGATGTTGGTATTACGTCATCACGTGTGCGTGACGTGTACATTATACTCTTTCATTACACTAGCTATCACTCACCGAGCTTGCATTTGCAGTACACAATGTCGCACAATTTGCACTGTGACAAACGTACCTGCGCCACTGTTTGGTTTTGCTCCACGATTTCGGCTGGAATGCAAAGGAAGCCCATACCAAGCTGGTGGATACATACGGTGAGGACGTCATCTCTTACATGACATGCAAGAATTGGTTCGCCAAATTCAAGAAAGGAGACTTTTCTCTCGAAGATGCTCCGAGGTCGGGTCGGCCGATGGAGTTGGATTTGGAAGTACTACGTTCCACCGTGAGGAGGACCCGTACCTCACCACCAGAGAAATGGCGACCATGCTTAGCTAGAATCAACTGGACGGTTGCACGTTGGACTAAAGACTGCTGCAAGGTAGTGCAAGCGGTGGTCGATGGTCCCACCATTGACTGGTCCCGCCTTATGACGCTCTCGAGAGGGGACGCACCTTGGCCACTTCTTCTCCTCACCTTCCAAAAAATGAGGCTTCACTTTCTTCAACTGCAGAGATCACTGGAGAGATGAGAAGTGGGTCCTCTACGATAACCCTGTGAGGAAGCGGCAGTGGGTCGACAAAGGAGAACAGCCAGAAGCCACCCCAAAGGCCGACCTTCACCCCAAAAAGGTTCTCCTGTCCTGTTGGTGGTCCAGAAGAGGCATGGAGTACTGGGAGCTGCTGGAGAAGGTAACAGAGAGCCTTCACCATACTGACCCATCTTGCGGAAATTGAAAGATCACGTCGACCGTACTCGTGGAAGGAATGCGGAAATCTACTTCCACCATGACAACGCCCGACCTCACACTGCAAAGGCGACCCAGGCCGAGCTGGAGAAGTACGGATGGCTGATGGTCGCCCACCCTCCCTACAGCCCTGACCTCGCTCCTTCTGACTACTGGCTGTTCAGCCACCTGCAGCGCTATCTGGACGGAAAAAAGTTCGAAACAAAGGATCAGGTCAGAAAGGCGCTCGACGACTTCTTCAAGTCCCAGCCTCCGTCGTTCTGGAAGGATGGAATCGACAAGCTGCCTGAGCGCTGGCGTCGAGTAGTGAATGGTGATGGTGCATACCTCTAATCTCCAGGCTGGTTCGTTTTTGAGATATTTACAAAAAAGTCGTGTATAAGAACTTATGCGACAACTAATAATATATACTCGAAAATCCCTGAGATCGGGTAGGCGTGGCCTCATATTTCAACTTAGCCTGAAGGTGTCTATGCTTCTCGGAGATAATATTTGCATCTGACAAAATTGTTGTCGTGTCTCTGTCCAGCACAGAACAAGGCGACAGTTGTCCCAGACTGGAATATCCCACGAATAACCATTTTCGTGTCATGTGCAAATGCCGCGAACCTCTGGCTCAGGGATAAGGAGTGTATCTATGATGATGGTGCATATGTTGTTGTTGATATGGCTTCTCTTGCAACGAATTTGACTCGAACAAATTTCAAAATGTCAGTAACTCTCGGTACAGAAGGTACTCTCCTCAGTGCACGTCCTTAACTCCACAACTATAGATATGAGCAGTTCAGCATGAATTCAAAAAGGAAATTACGTTGAAATAATGCGCTAATTTTCGATCTAGACGGCTGGAAGGCTCCAAATCATCAGGGAACTTATAACGACAACCCTGAGCACGAAGGGAACTCCTCAAGGCTGCCACAGATGTATGAAGAGTCCGCATCTACAGCAAAAACTGCATGTACATGGCCAAGCAGTACTTTGCCCCAAAAGGACAATTTGGAAATATATTTACACTGGGGTTTTGAACGTTTCCTTCATCAAGCACTGAAAACCCTTATCCAACTTGCATGGTCCTTGGTGACAACAATAGGAATTCTTCTCGAGAGAAAAGCGGAATTCAATGACGTAAACAGTTGATATGGTACGTAATTCGCTATCCCTAAAACAGTCCCTGCGCTCTAGTAATTCGTAGGCGTCCTTCTTCGTGAAAGTAGTCTGGCCCCCAAACTTCAAGTTTATCCGCTTTCGCGGCTTCACAGTAAGTAATCGAGGTACTACGGATCTCATTAGTGGTAACGCCTCCCTAGTTGTCCTCCCCCACCGAGACTCATGGGTCCCGAATTCAGTTTTTACCCCGTGTTTTCCGTTTTTTCTACTGTTAGATAGTATTAGCACTGGACTACGCAAAGAGACGATTAGTGAGCCAAAGGTGGCAGAATATTGCTTTTGCTAAATAAAACGAGCAGGTCAGGAAAACTCATAGGAGCTGACAGGTCTCTTAGCACTTAAAAGCAGCGCCCACGTTCATTTGATGTTCCCGCGCCCTCTCTGGATATCATAGCCCTCCCTATGAGGATGCAGTATGTACTAGTTTTGCATCTCAAAAAAGGCGAGAGGATAGCGCCGTTCGCTAGTGAAGAGTCGGCCGCCCCGCCCACCTGGCCAGCATAGGGTTCTATATAGGGCATTTTCCATGATTTTTTTTCTTTTTTCTTCACTACTGGATCACGTATTATATGAGCTCCATAACTCATTATTCTTGAAAGCGGGCTCAGCCTTTAAAGGCTAAGCCAAAGCAGTTATGGCAGCCAGGTGGGGGCGCCATCCTCTCGTATTTTTGAGCTGCGAAATTAGTACATCCCCACCCTTGTCGACAAAGCTACGATATCTAAGGAGGGCTAGGACGATCAAGTGAATGCGGGCGCTGCCTTCAAGGTGCTTTCCAATTTTTTGCTTTCTTTTCCCCTAGAGTCATTTAGCGATTATAGGTTTGTTACGGGACACCATTACCACAGTACACATCGCGGGGTTTGTGTTCAAGCTGAGAGCTAATCAATTGAGCATAAGCTACTCAGTTCAGGTAATTTTTCAGTAGTATGTTTCGAAATGTAAAATATCAAGCAAGCGACTGACTAACAGAGTGAGGAACTCACACCATTCGACCAGTACAAATGTAAAATATGTCATTATTCTCTAAAATAAAAATTGAGAGAGAATCCGAACGGAACTGAAATTAGAGGGCGTGAAATATTACTACATGTAACTTTTTTTAGCCACATTAATCCAGTATCAGCTCATTGGATGGTGGTGCAGTTCAAGTAGCACTTCAGCGAAAAAATTTTCAGTCAACGAAAAATTGAATGAAACGGCACTTACAAGCATCTGCGGACAATACCGCGGTTTCTGGTTGCGGCTGAGAAGATGGTACATTCGAAGAGGCTGAAGAAGATGAAGCCGGATAGGGCGGCCCTTCAGCCGCATCTGGAGCGGATGCTGCTTCTGATGTATCCAACGCACTTGTATCCGGTTGTGTCAAGGGGACCTCCTCAGCAGGGTCCAGGGTCTGTGGGCTAGGTGGAGGTTGAAACGGATTGGGCATTTGAGGCGCTAGTGGAAAAGGTTGCGGTTGCACTTGAAATGCAGGCGTTAATTGAGGATTAGCCCAAGTTGGCTGAGCGAAGGCTTGTGTCTGGGGTTGAGGGAAAGCAGGAGGTTGAAAATAATTGGTTGTAGGGGTTTGAAAAGGATTCTGGGGTGCCAGAAGGGATAACAAAGCTTCGGGTGATGTGGCTGTTGCAAGGCAAGCTGAACAGTGCCGTATGATGGATAGCACACCGAATATACAGAGCGGCATCATGATGGCAAACTGATTGGTCGTTGAACATGCCTTTTATATCAAACAAGCTTTGACTAAGCTGCTGACCACGGGCTATCGCCGACGAAAACTCTGTAACGGGAGTGTCATTAACGAAGGTGAGTCGTTCCATTAACACTGCTTACAGGGGCCGAAAACTGCTAAACTCTCACTTTTCTTACGCGTCCATTATTTCTGTCTAAACTGTCTAAACGATATAAAGACATTGGCAAGCACAATTACGCAATAGTGACAGCCCAAGCTACCCGTTTCCGGATCCCCCCCCCCTTTAAAAGGCGTATATCAAAGCGGACACTGTGGATATAATTGTGAGGATTGTGAGGGCTCACTAGTCTCGCGAGGAAAACTGGGAGATCCACAAAAATCTCTTCCTTAATTTCAAAGAAAGGGAATCGAATAGTGGAGTAAGTCGGCCCATAAATTTTTGAGGACGATTTGCATCTAAGCTACTGTAGATTTCTGAATAAGGGTTTCTTTAACAAATCCCACTAGCCACAAAGTGGGACGGCATAGTATTGCTTTGCTGTCTCCTATCGATCATGCCGATGCCACCCGAGGCTGCGTTCATACACTTTGCGGCAGCGCCACAGCGACAGCGACCAGCCTCGTGAAAGCTAGGGAAGTATGGGTATCGATCTTGCGTCTGCCAGCATCTACCAGCGTCCACCAGCATACACCAGCGACCGCGAATAGGGTGTATGGGGCAAGTAGGAGGGCAGAAAACAGCTTTATTAGGCCTTGTGAACTCGCGGCGTTTACAATTGCACCGTACAGCTTCACCACACGGCATGTTAAATTCCATAATTCTGTGCTTATGCAGTTGCGCGGCGGGTTGCAGACGCCGACGCCTAATCCAGCTGCTTGTTACCCCCCCCCCCCCTCCCCCTACTTCCCCGTGCTCTCTACTCCCGATCGCTGGTGGACGCTGATAGACTGGTAGACGCTGGTAGACGCTGGCAGATGCTGGAAGGGTATCTATACTCTTCTCATCGCTGACACTGCCAAAGGCTCGGAGCGCTAGTGGGCAGCCCAAGAGTAAACTATCAGCGCATGTGGAACTTTGCAATACTAGCAGCTTCGTTTGCAGTGACAAGACTCCTCAGGTTGACTGAAGTGTAATTTGGCTGAAAACAGTTGATGAAACCAGCAAACCAGGGGAATGTCCCGATTCCTATGCCAAATAGCGCTCAATAGAGATAGGCTCTCGTTTTTTATGCGGCTGTCAGATGCCTGACGTCCTTCGGTGAAAGCACCTTTTGCAGTCGAGACCCATAGCACAATGTAACAAATATGTGATTCTTCAAAATAAAAGTCGAGAGATCCGAACGAAGCTGAGAATAGCGTAAAAATTAACTACTGTATATTTTTTGCACAATTATGAGGCCGTACAGCATTATTGAGATGGTGGTGCAGTCAGGTAGCACTTCAGCGAAAAAATTTTAGTCAACGAAAATTGAGTCAAAACGAGCACTTAGCAAGCATGACTGGGCGACAATACCGCGGTTTCTGGTTGCGGCTGAGAAGATGGTACATTCGAAGAGGCTGAAGAAGATGAAGCCGATGAGGGCGGCCCTTCAGCCGCATCTGGAGCGGATGCTGCTTCTGATGTATCCGACGCACTTGTATCCGGTTGTGTCAAGGGGACCTCCTCAGCAGGGTCCAGGGTTTGTGGGCAGTGGAGGTTGAAACGGATGGGCATTTAGAGCTAGTGAGAAGGTTGCGGTCACTTGAAATGCAGGCGTTAATTGAGGATTAGCCCATGTTGGCTGAGCGAAGGCTTGTGTCTGGGGTTGAGGGAAAGCAGGAGGTTGAAAATAATTGGTTGTAGGGGTTTGAAAAGGATTCTGGGGTGCCAGAAGGGATAACAAAGCTTCGGGTGATGTGGCTGTTGCAAGGCAAGCTGAACAGTGCCGTATGATGGATAGCACACCGAATATACAGAGCGGCATCATGATGGCAAACTGATTGGTAGTTGAACATGCCTTTTATATCAAACAAGCTTTGACTAAGCCTGCGACATGGCTATCGCCGACGAAAACTCTGTAACGGGAGTGTCATTAACGAAGGTGAGTCGTTCCATTAACACTGCTTACAGGGGCCGAAAACTGCTAAACTCTCACTTTTCTTACGCGTCCATTATTTCTGTCTAAACTGTCTAAACGATATAAAGACATTGGGCAAGCACAATTACGCAATAGTGACAGCTCCATGCTACCGTCCCCCTTCCCCCCCCCCCTTTAAAAGGAGTATATGCAAAGCGACAATAATGGATGTGAATATACATGTGAAGGATTAGTGAGGGCTCACTATTCTCGCGAGAAAAATGGGAGATCCATCAAAAATTCTTCCAATTTCAAAGAAAGGAATCGATAGTGAAGTAAGTGCCTATGAATTTTGAGGACGATTGTCATAAGACTCTTCAGATTTCTGAATAAGGGTTTCTTTAAAATCCACTTGCCACAAAAGTGGGGGCCGGTATATGCTTGCTGTCTTCCTATCGATCACTACCGATCCACGTCAAGGTTATGCGTTCATACTCTGCGCAAGCGTCTACATGCACGTCTAACACAGCGTCCCACCAGCTGCCTCGAAGCTAGGGAAGTATGGTATCCGATCTTGCTCTACAGCATCTATCCGCGTCCACCAGCATACACGCGACCCGCGAATAGGGTGTATGGGAAAAGGTAAAAGCAGAGATTAGGCTTGTGAACTTGCTGATGTACAATGCATTCCGTAATCCGCATTCACCACACGGACGTTAAATCCGTAATCCGTGGCTTATGCCAGTTGCGCGGTGGGTTGCAGACGCGCACGCTGATCCAGCTGCTTGTTCCCCCCACCCCCGTGCTCTCTAAGTCCCGATCAGCTGGTGACCGCTGTAGATAACTGGCGATGTTGGAAGGGTACTATAACTCTACTCATACCGTGACGGCTGCAAGCTCGAGCGCAAGTGGGAGCCGCAAAGTAAATATCAACGCAATGTAGAAATTTGGCAATACAGCAGCTTCGTTTGAGTGAAAGACTCTCAGGTGACCGAAAGTGGAGTTTGGCTAAAATCAGTCATGAAACAGTAAACGCAGGATGTCCAGCTCTATGCCAAATAGTAATAGTAAAAATGGCTCTCGTTTTCCATAGCGTTGTCAGTGAACAGCGCATGAAAAACGAGACATTGGCAGTTTCGGTGAAAGTACCTTTTATGCAATCGCGTGATCGCATTAGCAGACTGCTTTCCTTTGCTTGCGGGTGTCCGTAATGGGAGTGCAGTCCACCGTGATATCATGAACTTGCCAATGTGGTAAGAAGCCACCGAATGGGTAAGAAGAGGTCGAAAATTACAATTTTCTGAAAAGTGTTTCGTACCATGGTACATCATATAATAGTTTGGGATGCCGATGTAGGGTCGCGGTTGGGGAGGAGGAGGTGAGGGGGTCTCAAATGCAGGGTCGGTGGACACCAAACAGCACAACAGTGTCATCGCTAAGTTTGATGGAGCGGCCGGAAAACTGGAGAGGACCCGGATATGTTGAAGACAAATAAAATAATCGTATGTTACTTTTCAGTATCAATAGTTAGCATGAACTCGTAAGTAAGTAGATGACTAAATAATACATCTCAAACAGATTCATGCGTATCGACCTTTCCAAACCCTAAACAAACATCTGCTTGCATGGACAAAAATTACCTGAAATCAGAATTTACACCTTCCCTCACCTCTGCGTAGTAGCGTAATGCACGGCGCACGCTCGTACCATCGATGAAAATTAAATTATATTTCGATTCACTTTAACGGGAATATGTGTTTCGAAGGCATATTGAAGTTACCGAATGAGAATCCTCACAATGATCAGGACGGCAGGAGGGAGGAAAAGTGCGTCCTGGCTGCGCTCCATTCCGCGCTGAGTCACTCGCCCTATCGCTTACAGCATCGCGACTGTGTGTTTAGTAAAAAAAGGGCTATACCCAAGGGACAGAGTGGTTCAGCGGGATGTATCCAGGAATGGAGCCGTCAGTAGTGGTGCCAGGCGCCATAGTTCTCACTTCCTCTAAGAAAGTAAAATTCACGCGA